GCGACAGCTTCTGTTTGTTTTCACCGTCTGATATAAACGTGTGCGTGGAAAAGACGGCCTTGTTTCCTTGCACATGCTTTCGTCTACCTGTGAGTACAGGTGGTTGCAAACACGAAATCTATTGTTCAGCTTCTGCCCCTCGTCTTGCTCTTTCCTGCACGATTTTTCTTCCTAAACGAGTCTAGATGCACACGTGTATAGTGCAGCATACGAGATAGAAGATTGGCAAAAATCTTTGTTTAGTTAATATTAAGAATAATGCTAAGTTCATTTCGTATCAAAGAAATTCTTTTCTTCGCGTATTTCTTTTTTAATTTTAAAAATCTACTCCATATTTATCAGACAAAAAATCTATTATTAAAATTGTATTTTTTAAGCAAAGGATAAAGAATTAATATTGTTGGGTTGAATAAAAAAAATTAACATTACTATCAAATTTAATATATATATTATTATAATATTAAAAGAGAAAAGCGCAAATGGAACATCTTGCCATGTGATGTTACAGCTCTGACACTGATAAGAATTTGAACGCAAGATTTTACTACAAATCTGTCTCCTTCACGTACGTTATCTAACGTTATCTAAAGGATTAATACGCGGTTAGCAACAATCACAGCCAACAGCTGACTGACCGTCGGCCGACACGCGGTGCGCTCCCATTAATTTGGACGCTGGAAAAAAGCCGCGCGGGACGCACCGGTGAATCCGCAAAATTTTCGAGACCTTCCGAGCGGACACAAAATTTGCGGAGAGACAGAGAGAGAGAGGGAGAGAAAATGATCGGCCCGCAGAGACGCGTTCGTCCTTTTATATTTGGCACATATGCTGCCCAGGTGCTCGCGCCGATGGCCAAAGGGTAGAGTTTCAAATTTTCTTACCTTATTCTTCGCGACTTCTTGGCTCGTTCTGTTCGATATTTCTCGCTCTCTTTCTTTCTCCTTGCCAGTATCAGCTGTCGATCATCTTTTCACACTTTCTTCCGTAGTAATCGTACCTGCAAATAAAAGCATGCATGGTGAATGTTAATTCGAGAATGCGTGAAAAAGAAAAACATCAATACATTCTAGAAATAAAAAATTATATTTCTTAATTTATAAACGCTGTTAATTATAAACGCTGTTGAACATATATACGCTATTATAGTTATTTGCATTATATCATTATTATTTTATTTTTGATGTACTTTAATTTAATTGAATTTAGTTTTTATTAGGGAAATCTATTTAGCTGAGTTAAATGAATTATATGAGTTATATGAGTTAATTGTAGCTTATTGAAGTTAAGTTTTTATTTTAAATAATTTATTGTTCGTTATTTTAAATATGAGAATATTACTAGATAACTATAGATCATTATAAAAACACACTGTAAAAATACATAAACACAAAGACAAAAATAACAATTGTAAAACTGTAGGTCACCCAAAGCCGTAAGGCATGGATTAATAAATAATAATATATGCTACTATTTACCTTATTCTTCGCGACTTCTTGGCTCGTTCTGTTCGATATTTCTCGCTCTCTTTCTTTCTCCTTGCCAGTATCAGCTGTCGATCATCTTTTCACACTTTCTTCCGTAGTAATCGTACCTGCAAATAAAAGCATGCATGGTGAATGTTAATTCGAGAATGCGTGAAAAAGAAAAACATCAATACATTCTAGAAATAAAAAATTATATTTCTTAATTTATAAACGCTGTTAATTATAAACGCTGTTGAACATATATACGCTATTATAGTTATTTGCATTATATCATTATTATTTTATTTTTGATGTACTTTAATTTAATTGAATTTAGTTTTTATTAGGGAAATCTATTTAGCTGAGTTAAATGAATTATATGAGTTATATGAGTTAATTGTAGCTTATTGAAGTTAAGTTTTTATTTTAAATAATTTATTGTTCGTTATTTTAAATATGAGAATATTACTAGATAACTATAGATCATTATAAAAACACACTGTAAAAATACATAAACACAAAGACAAAAATAACAATTGTAAAACTGTAGGTCACCCAAAGCCGTAAGGCATGGATTAATAAATAATAATATATGCTACTATAAAAAAAAAATTAATTTAAAAAAATATAACAGTATAATTTATGAACTCTCTTTTCCTCTCTTTTTTTTTTTTTTATATTTTTGTCAGAGAGAGAAAGAGAGAGTTTTTCGTATAAAAATATCAAAGAAGAATAAAATCAAGAAACCAACGATATAACAGTAATAAAACGTCTGGCATTTTCAAAAATCGGTTCGCGTACTTCGTGAGCATGCCCTCTATTAGACTGCTCATAACCGTGAAAAATGATCGGGTCAGTAATCGTCTTTAGTATGAGTTAAAGTCGCGGCATTAACTACATCCTGGCGTAGAACCCCTGCAGATAAGTTCCTCCCTAATTTTGAACGATGCCCTGACGTCACGGTGTACTCGGGGTCCCCGCGCCTGTTCCGGTCTGCTTGACCAGGACCGGAAGTGGGAGACCGATGGGGAGCGCGAGCACTCGAAACTCGAAATCCCCCACGGATATCGATGTTCCCGTGTTTAAACGAGAAGGAAGTCGGCATTTCCTCAAAGATCCGACGGTTGTGTCGAAACAAGAGCGAGAGAAACGATTTACGCGCTGCAGAATAACGTCGAGATTTATCCATTAATATCTACATGCTATAAAGATTTAAAAAGCAAATTGCTTAACTTTCTAAATCACGTGTGCATTTCCTATAACAAAGTATATTCCAGTATAAACTGATAATCGTCGGCAATCTCGCGAGCTGCACTCGATATCATGTTTGAAAGCAATTACGGGGCAAAACGCAGCAATAATAACCGAACGAGCGTGGATATTACGGTGGAAAAATCTCAAGAAGCAATCACAAACCTAATGATCGTTACGGCCGCTGGCTATAGTTGGTCATGGTGTTCACCTGTTCGTGGTGAGTGTACGAGAGGACGCGCGATGCGCGTGTGCACGCCCGACGCATTGCGCTGCAATGCATTTCTGTAACGGTCGAATTTACCCCCATCATACGGCCAGCCGTGATATAGCGAAGCGTGACTCGACCCAAGTTGCGTTACAATCCACCCGGTATCGCGCGAGATGCTTATAATTGCACCTCTTCGAATCTCGCGGCAGCGTGCGTCACGCTTTATTTCATGTACGTGCACACAGTGGCGCGTTTATGTTTCTGCTGTCCCCCCTTCCCCTCGCACTCGAGCATTCATTTGCATATCGCCCTTGTCTCGTCCACTCTCGGACGATTGCATCCAGACGCAAGTACGTACATCGCTTAAAATTTTATATGTTTGTATGTTTTATTCAACGCATTTTTAAAATAAAAATTGTATCGCAAATATAAAATGTTTTAGCGATAATCTTTCTTGAGATTTTTCAGTATCTTCGAGAAGCTTAAGAAAGCGCAAGAGAAACAGGTCTTGTCGAGAAAATGCGAATTCATGGTTGACTGATGGCGTTTACGACACCGGTTTCATTTTTCCACGAAATCGAGTCAAATCGCAATCTCATCGATTTTTGATGAAAGAAGATTTCAAAGAAACTAAAATTTACACGGGTGAGTCAAAGGTGAGACCTTGGCTTGGTCTTCCTGAGTTACAATCTGAATGCCCTGTATAGAATGGGCGGTCCCATTGCATTGAATCACGTTGACCTGTTACATAATAACTGGTGTTCGCGGAGAATGTATAAAACGCAACAAAAAAAAACAAAAAAAAAATTTAAAAAAAATCACGGTTGAGATATTAAATCGCGTTAATACGGCCGATTCAAAGGCGATCCAACAAGTAAATTTAATACAACACGAAATAAAAAGCAAAAAATTTTGATTTTATAAAAAGATGCTATGCCGATTATGGTTATATAATCGTCGGCCTGTTCGTAAGTCATGTCTATCCGAAAGTTCTATGTGCTCGAGAAAACGATCGCGACTCGAAGAGCGATTTTCTGCCCGGGACTTGCTTCCACTCTGGTCTCTCCCTCTCATTCTCCGGCTGCTCCACCTGCTCGGACGACCGTTTTTTCTTCTTGCTACAGAACACCCGACTTCCCGCAAAAATGCTCGAGGCAGAATCGTGCCAACAATTGGGTGAATTGTCTTGCAGTCTCATTGGTGCGCACGCTTACGCGATCTAAACCATTTTTCTATTCCTCTCTCTATAAACCTTTCTCAAAAATATAATTTCAATTTCCAAAAAAAAAAAAATAAATTTTTAATAGAAAAATGATAAACTTTTTATATTAGCTTCATATATATAGTTTCAAATTATATCTAATGTTTGATCAAAAAATACCTACGAAATATTAAATAAAAAATAATAGTAACAAATTTTAGTATGTGCGAAAAATACCGATTAAAAATATATGTAACATATATATGAAAAAATGTAAATTATTTGGTATCTATGTAAGAGACTATTTAAAGAGGTAAATTGAAGTAAATTTGAGGATAAAACAATTTGCGATAAAATAATAAAAATTCTTTTCGCGCACTTCAACGATCGATCAGATGCAGTAGCATAATCCGGAAAAAAATTAAACGGAAGAAAAAGAGATCTGAGAAAGAGAGAGAGAGAGAGAGAGAGAGAGAGTAGTCTTGAATCGCATCGAACCGCGATCGTGATCTTTCTATACATCGCGCTACTTAGAAAAAAAAGCAGAAGGTACGCTTCATGGCGCGCGCGCTCTTTCCTACCACAAGGCCGAGAGATCGCTTAGCATAATCCGTTGGACGGTTTCGAGCTTGAAAACACGATGGTGAGGGTACACGTGGAGAGCGCACGCACTAGAGAGAGAACGCGCGTGCGGATGTCATCGTGCGTGCAACGAGGACGTTGCTAGAGCAAATTCGCGCCATTTTTACTGCGCATCCCGCGCGGCGCACCAATCAGATTTGAATTTGAACACCCGGTAGTGGGGACTACCGGACCTCGTGGCTTTGCTCAAACGGATCTGAGCCGTCTGGTCCCGAAAGATCCTACCAGAACGAGTCTGACCGTCGTACGGTGAAGATCAAGGTTGGTGGGTTGGTTTCGGGCCGACATCGCGCGAGAAGAGTGACCGTCGAATATCGAGGAGGAAACTTCACAGAAAAGTTGAACGGCCCGGCGCAATTTACGTCATCGAAGATTCTTCTGTTCTTCCGGGGAACGTTGAACGGAAGACACAAGAAGAATCGACGTTTCATAGTATTATATTCTCTACGACAAAGTGAAGAGAGCGCGAAATATCTCGAATTGAAAAACGCAAGTTGCCGCTGAATCCGCTTAACTCGAATTACGCATCCGGTGGAATACACAAGAGGGACCCGAGATGCTGGCAGCTTCGATCTGTTGCGAAATTTATTACACGGTGTTACCCAGCTCGACCATGGCCTCGCGAGTACCACGCTGCCTCTTCGGCAAGCCGGACCCGCGGGACACCATGGAAATGTTCCAGGAAGCGCTAGACGCGGAGAGGAACAAGTTCGCCAAGAGATGGGGAGTGGATCCCTGTTCCGAGGACAAGGAGAATAATTACCAGAGACGGAACAACGAGAAGAGCGAACCGTCGACTAACAAAAAGCGAAGTAATCCGTATTCAAGGCAGACCAGCATTCACGGTGAGCAACATTTCTCTCGCGAAATATCAACGCGAATTTTATTGATAAATTTAACGGAAATTAAGCGAATGCTCGCGTGGCCGCGATATATGCACGAGAGAGAGAGAGAAAGCATGAGTTACGAATCGTGTTCGGTAAATATTTCCCTGTGAACGGACGATACGTAAAAATTTATCAGAATGCATGTTTCACGCGCGAAAGAAGGTGGGCCTCTTCGCGAATCTTTTGGTTGGTACCGTCTTCTTGTATTTAATGCGCGTGGCCGAGCTAAAAATATCTCTTACACATAACTCGATATATGGCATGCCACTATAATATTCCTTGAGATGGAAACTGAATTATGCAACCGAATTGTATTCGTAACTCTAGTATCACACAGTAATTTTTTACCTGAATACACACAAACGTGCGACTTGCAATACATATAAAAGAAGCAAAATCTTACGTTAAAATTAGCCTCTTCGGCAATTAATGATCTATCATTTAGCTCATTGAATGACGCTGTAACGAGATTGCAAAGTAGCGGCGAATCTGTCGCTCATCGTGGCGTCATAGAGCCACGACTTTTTGGCGGGAAAGCCGTGCCGAAGAAAGGGAAGCCGGACGCGCAGGCGCGGCCTGGTCGCGTGGCTTCGACCTGTTTTCTTATTCTAAGTTCGTCGCATCTTCCGCCTTTTCTCCTCCTCCAGCTTCTATATATCCCTCGCCTGAGTACTCCCGGCTACCGTCTTACGCGTTCTTTCGGAGAACCTTTCATCCTGTTAGGCTATTCGTTTCTTACGCTAGGAGCACGCGTCGTAAACGAGACCCGTCGCAGGGATAATCTAGGCAGCCTAAACTAGAAATGTCTGAGATTAGAAATTCGTGTTGTCCTTTATAGAAACTTGTTTTTTTTTTTTTTCTATAAACTTTATTTTTACAATATTTATATAAATTAATTTCTATAAACTTTATGAGTTCTTCGATTAATACAGATTCGTATCGTGAATGTAAATCTGTTGTTTGCATAGGCTACGTTGCAGCGATAATATGGTTTACCCATGAATTACAAAAAAAGAAAGAAAGAGATTCAATATTTTTTGAAATTATTTACAAAATATAAATAAATAATTTTTACAATCTTCATGAATTTGTCTGATAATTTAATATAAAATATATATTTTTAAAAAATATTTATCCAACTGCGATATATTTTTATATTTTATCAAATTGAAAAAAATATAATTAACAATTGTAGCTTTTTTTATTTAGAAAATTCAAGTTGCAGCGAATGCAGCTTAATTTTTTTCACAGTTCCGTCGTATTCGAGTAAACATCCACTAACTTCTGCGCAACATCTATCGAACACCTACGAAAAAAAAAAAACTTGCGTTATCAAGAAAGATAAGTGAACACGTGTGGTGCATGATCGCGTGAGAAACTTCAGTTGCTGATCGTATTCTACGATCAGTACGCGGTGTAATAACGCAGTTAGGAAAGGAACGTCGTGATCGAGGATGAATCACGACTATGAGTCATGGGTTTAAGGCGACCGACGTAAAGTACCTGTAAGGGTTCTGTCGTGAGTCATCGAAGGGCCCCCGATTTCCAAGGAGTAAAAGAAAGCCGCGATCGCATTCCTTGGATTCTCTCGGCATGACACACTTCTACTTCCTCCTCAATGTAATCGCATGAATTTTAGTGCACAATGGACATTATGTTTTTTTCGACCAAGTGCAAAATTTTGCATGTCACTGCATGCGAGATGAATCAATAAACTTACGTCACTTTGTATGTAACTTGTATTTTTTATATTTTCGGGATAATAATTTCGAAAAAATATTTATTCTTTTATAAAAATGATTTTTATACTATCATAATTTATACTATCATAAATATATAATGGCTAATATCCGTTTTGAAATCATATATAGGCATTCGAAGTGGTTCGCAGGCTAAAAAAATGGTCGATACGTTGAAACACGTGTGCGAGATAATCGTAGCGCGCGCGAGGGGAAAAGATTAATTTTCTCAACTTCGAGAGAGATCCTGTTCCTATTTGCACTGATAATCCCCCGCACGGTGACTCCTTGGACTGGAACGTGACGACCCTCAAAAATTCAACGGAGCGGGACGGTGCAACCAGCACCTCTTTTTCCACCGACACCTGTTAGCCCTTGCTATGGGCCCATGACGACTGGAACGTCTTTTCCCACGATTAAATCAGACCCCGCGAACACGCGATACCGTGTCGCGCGGGGCCTTTCGAAGGTCGCGCGTCACCTGTTGGAACAAGTTGCACTTGATACGAGAAGGACTGGATACACTAATTGCACTAACTCCTCCATTTAGTTAACATTTTCATAGTCTGATGAAAGTTACGTTTACTAATTTAACGAGATATCAAATACATTCCTTTTTTGTTTTAATAATTTATCTATTGCCGTAAAAAAATGACTTTTAATGTCGTCACGCGCGTTTTATCTCTTGTATTTAATCCAGGATAAAACACGTTTAATCAAAATATTTTACATCTATACAGAATAAACATAAAACCAAATAAAGAAAAATCTGGATTTTCGTCTTTTATACCTATTCGGCCCGAATCGCACGAGTAACGGAAAACGATAGAAAAGCCTTCTATTTTCTTTTACGATTAACGGAAGGAAAAATAAGCGCGGTGATCGTATCGTAGAAACGAGGGATGTGAATCGCGGTATTATTTTCCGCGTCGTGGAATAGAAAACCTTTGACGTTCTCGATCCTCGCGACGAGAAATCGACAAAGGATCCTTTCGATCGCGACTTAAGGCAGACTCTCCCGTTTGCATGGTTCTCCCGCAAAATCGGAGACGTCTTGGAGAGCGATTCGAAAAAGATCCTTCCTTCGGGTGAAAAACGCGTCAGAAGAAGGACCGTTCGGATCCCTGAACAAAGGGGAACGAAATCTCGTTCGAGACATATGGACAGGTAAGCGTCGAGCCTTCTACGACGCATCTAGGATCTACTTCGTGGCACGTTGAGGCGTGGAAACAGATGTTGACAAGCGAAATTGTGAACGAGACCAAAGAAAAGGAGACAGAGAGAAGAGAGAGAGAGACTGCGTGAACGCTGATCGAGGAAGAGCTCGGTTTCGCGCGCCATATGGCGAACCATTGCCAAAAAGAGAGAAGTACGGAGAGAAAGGATCATGTCCTCGACATATGGCCATTGCGTGGATTTTTTTCGTCCTTTCTCTCATCGATTTGCCGGATCGAACTGCGCTCCGATTCCGTTGTATCGATTCGCGCGCGCTAATATTCCTTAATACTTTGACTGAATGAGAATGATCGATTAAACCGCAGTCCTTAAGAAAAAATTTATTTCCAAATTAATCAAAAAAAATATGGCTACAAAGGATATGATTTCACGATATCCTGTATTATGGCCTCATCCATTATATGTATGTATAAACGCATGCGATTCAATCACTTTTTTTCACACATTTTATTATTTATTTCGTAAAACGAAATGTGTGTACGTCTTATATTCCTCGCGTTTTTATCGAAGCATCAGAGAACAAGATTTTTTTTTTTTTTTACTTTCGGAGAACTGGTACCGTTAACATAAAGTCGCACCTGTCAGTAGTCAGTCAAGAAAAGAGAGAAAAATCGAAATAAAAAGAAGTGAGGGTAGGATGCTCAGGTGGTTACCTGATCGAAAGTAGGGTGCCCTTAAGACGATTCCTGTGTGTGTAGTCTTTGTTGTGGAAATTTCATGCTTCTCCCTCGCACGATGCTCCTATACAGGTTACGCGACGTCGCAATGAGATGACCCGATCGATCCACTAAACTTCATATAACGCCACGGAATCTTAAAAATATATTCGTTACGGGAAGTTCAACGTGTCCTCTCACAGAAATATCTATTCACGACGCGTGAAATATATCGAATGAATAGAATGAATGCTTTTATTGTGTCTCGCGAAGTTTTGTTTTTATACAGTATACTATTATTGTTACGACTTCTCGTGACGCGACATTTCAATAACACGTCGTTTACATTCAATACTGTTTAATTTTGTTACCGTTTATTTTTGTTACAGATTACTGGCGAGCTCGAAAAATATGCGACGCGAATAAAAAGCCTTTGACGACTTCGATGGACGTGACGAAGCAACAAAATGTGGATTCGTCGAAAACAACGAAGACGAGTACCACGACAGCGGCGATAACGAAGACCGCGTAGAATATGACGTCGAATCAGAAACGATCGTATATCTTTAGATCCCGTGCACACGTGCGGTTTTTTCTTATTTTGCTACGGTGGCAAAAAAATCGCCATGTTAACTTGAACGTGTTTTCGAACAGCGAAAGAATCTCTCGCAAGCAATTAGCTCTTTTTCTTAAAAAAAAAAAAAAGTTAAAAGGATTAATATATTATTATTATAAAAAACGTATTATATAAAATATTATTAGAATAATTTTTTTCAAAATTATAGAGACAAAAAATTTAAAATATTGGGTTGAACGGAAAGTTTGTACCGTTTTTTCGGTCTTCATCTGTTAGTAAAAAACGGAACGAACTTTCCGTTCAACCCAATATATCGTATTGCACAAAATGATCACCGAGAAATTAAATATAAGCGTGAGAGAGAGAGAGAGAGAGAGAGAGATGCGCGTGTGCACGGCATGTTAACGATCGTTTTAGTAGAACAGACATTATCTGCGCTACCGAATCTTGTATATTTATTCTCTTTCGCGTCTTTCAAGCACTATTATCATTGATCAATTATTAGAGTAATTCTCTGTAGGATTAATTGTGACGGACATATTAATTAATTCTTGTAAATAATTTGTCAAGTGATTTATTGGAGGTTTTTGTGGATGGATTCATTGTCGTAAGAATCGCCATATTTCCAATTAAAATTTTTACAATTAATGAATCATTGTCTTCAGCGAACCGATCGAAAGTGTCTTTCCCGGTAGCTCGCGATTTATCGACACGGTTTTTAACAAATTTCGGGTATTAAAAATTTTTTCGCGACGACGGCGGTCCATCGGAAGCTTGAAACGGTTGGTTCCTCGAGGAAGCAACAATGCAGCGCCTCCAAAGACTAATTGATTATAAACATCAACTCGCATCTCTTCGCACTCTCGTCGTCGCACGAGAGACAGAAGAAAGTCCTATGTATATTTCGTTTTAGAATTAGGACATCCCTCTAGTCATCTAGTCATTTAAGCAAATAATAAACTATCGTGCTTTCATTCCTACCTATTGTTCTTATTTTTTTTCTTACCCTTGCTATACATGTTAAGAATATCATATATTAGAAAATGTTTTTAAAATGTTATATTATATTATACCAAGACATATGTGCTATAATTTTAAAAAATAAAACTGATAATTGTGATGAATATATCTCTCGCTAATTAAAAATGGTTATTATGTAATCCTATTATGTAATCTATTTTCCACGTTCTCTATTTCACTATTTACTCGATGTATTGAAACATAAAATTTATAATTTTTCGCTTGATTATTGTATCTTAATACTTTATTATAGTGTTTTGAAAAGCTCTCGAGATAAGCTACAAGAATATGCCATAAAAAGTAGGCAAAATGTTTGGTCAATTTTTATTATTGCAATTTGTTGCCGGTTAGAAACTGATAAATTTCTGTTTATGACTTTTTTATGTCAGATTATTGTAAGTGCCTTAAAAATCGTGGCGACCGTTACAAGGACCACCCTGTATATCTTCTCCTGATTAATTCAGTTAGTACTGTAAAACTAATTCAACGAGTAAAAATCTAATCGAATAAAACAGTAGTTATTTCGCATCAATTACTGCTACCGTAATGTTTGCCTCATGTTCCTGATGCCTCAAGTCTTTTAAATTAATAATACGTTACATAGACGTTAAAAAGCGGCAGGCGAATCGACATTATCTGATGTTCCATCAACACATTCTAAGGAAATCGACACGTGGAGAACGAGTCAAAATCGTCGAAAATTAGGCAGCTGAGCAGCACGAATCGCGTTTTGTAACGAACATTTGTAACATCCACCTGGACGCGTGCTAGGGTGGTCCCGATACGCGTATGGGGGTGAACTATAGGGTGACACAAAAACCATGACTATCCCTACATGTGCACATAATCTACATAATATCCCTTTCAAACTTAATTACGACAAAATTATAAATATGATGAAAATATCTAAATGACATAAATAATGAAAAGATATTGGAAATTTTTAACTCGTGCTAATTTCAAAAGAAAATGTATTATTATATAAAGACAGGAAGAGAGAGAGAGAGAGAGAGAGAGAGAGAGAGAGAGAGTACAAATCTAAAAAATAAAAATATATAAATATAATATAAATATAATAAAGATGTATGCAAAATATGAATCTTCAATATACAATATAATAAATAACTATTATTCTTATCTATATCTATTATTCTCTAGTAAAAATTTAGTAAAGACGTTATATTTATGTAGCAAAGCAACATGATTCTAAAACGTATAATAACAAAACGTAGTAACGTTTTCAACAGAGCACCCCGTGTAGGTGGGTAGTTTACTTATCTGTACGACGATGATACGATGCATGGGGGTGACTCGGCGCGGTCGCTATATGGTTAATTATAATGCGTGATGCACCATGGGGTCTTCCGAACATAGGGGAACTATGCGAAGGGAAGCAGCTGGTTCATGGTTTTAATGGCTGTCATCCTAGCTGGTCATTTCGATGATAACTAATACGATGCCTCTTTCGAAACCATACTTGCGTTAAATCGAATATCGACGAAACATTGCTACATAAATGGATTTTCGAACGTTACATATTGCAACGGATATTCGATTAGCATCCACCGAGCGATTAAAGGAGCAATACCCGTTTGAAGGATATTTTCTAGATTTTTTTGCAGTGCAACGACTTGATAAAAATTTTTAATTTTTTTTACAATATTAATACAATATTATTAACTATTTAAATAAAAATTTTCAGCTTAAAAAAATTTTTTTTTAGAAGTTATGCGAATATTTGCAGATTTATGTTTTCATGCACGGTGTGCATGAAACTTTTTTTCAACACGCTACCATTTTTTTATTTTTGAAAATTTTGGAAAAACGCTTGGATAGCAGTTAGCTATTAATATGTTTAATACAAAAAGCTTGTATTTTTGATTTCGGATATGATCTACGAACGTTTTCATGCACACCGTGCAGCCACTTAAAATTTGGAGGAGCTCTGCAAATATTCCCATAACTTAAAAAAAAAAAAAAATTTTTAAGCTGGGCATGTTTATTTAACTAGTTAATAATATTGTATTAATATTGTAAAAAAATTAAAAATTTTTATCAAGTTGTTCTACAAAAAAA